CTTTCCATAAACAACTGACTGAAATAACGTAGTCTCTTGTCTCTCTTCCACACATACTGTGGTTGGCATTAACATCCCTGAAACAGAGAACTTGAAACTTCCTTCTGCTAATGTTATGATTCCAGTTGCATCTCAGTTATACAACACAAATGCCTAAAAATACAAATTCTCAAATCCTTTCTTGGGCAAACTTGAGAATAACAGCAGTGAACAATTAGCATTTCTAGAATGCAGAATTTCAAATACTTAGAGCCATGCTATTTTCTAATTCTCTCTTTGTCAAAACACTAGCTTGTATACCAACATGCAACTTAAATTCTCAAAAAAAAAAAAGGTTTTCTTTATTGTTCTGTGTGAAAGGAATTCAGCATTATCTGAGACACTATAGTATTCCTGACCACTACATATACCCTGAAAGAGCTTGAAGATTCTTAAAAACAGATGCAATAAATTTCTTGGCTCTGCAACTTCCAGCTCTTTCTGGATGTCAAGCAACTTGATATAGAGCTTATGTTTCTTTACAGCTTTAAACTATCAATAACTATCTTCTGGATATTCAGCAAACCATACACATTCTCCAAAGTCTGTGACATGTTACTTCTCAAATTCTGTATGTAGTACCCAGCACTGTCTTTCTGTAATCTCTTTTCCCTTTCTTTCAGAAGTATTTTCATTCTATATTTTCAGTCTCCTTTTGTGAGTGAAATATATTATCATATTGAATGAATATATTATCATATAATCATATATTATCTTTTAATTTGGGGGTCTGGATGCTGCACTCTTCAATGTTTACCTAAACACAAAAGCAGAAGTACTTCAAAACAAAGTAACCTTTTGAATCCTTTCCTTCTGTTATCGTTTCCAATTGTTGGCCAATAAAGAGTAAACCATAGTTTGAATCTGAACAGCTTTTACTTTTACTTCACACCTTTACAAGAGGTGGATACAGCAAAGGGTCTCAAAGGACTCACACAATAAGGATAAATGGTAGGATCCAATATGGTAGCTACAATTTATAGAATATTAGGTGCATAATCACTGCAAATCCTGTTGTAAATATCCTTTTAGAATGTTACTGGAAGATTCATGAAAACAGGTGAGTCCGTGCTGTACAGCTTTGGGGTGAGATGAGAAAATGGTGCCAATGGGGTGTTATGAAATTAAGAATTTTTTAAAAAAGTGTATATAATAAAGTTTAGACATTCAGAAAAAGAACAGTTTTCACTGTATCATGCCTAGCTCTCAAGCATAACTATATGTGAAAAGATAGCATCAGTGTCAAAAGCTGATACACTGTAAGACTAAAGCCACAAATTTTGCCTCCTAAAATGAGTAGCTATTTTTGAAAATGCTGGCCCTGGTAAGAATAGAAATGTGCATTGTTCTTTATCACCCTGCTCTAAGTGGAGGCCACTTTTAAATACTTGTCTAGAAAGACCACTTGCTTAGCAAGTGACAAAAGCCAAGCATTTTGAGAATCCAAACAGCCAGTATGAACCAGATTTCCAGTTCCCAGAAATCCTTCTCTGTGCCCTATAGCTGCCTGCTCATGTTTAACTAGCAATTCTTGAGAAAGTATTTTCCTTTCTGGGTGTACAGCAAATTATGCAAGTGGATACCTAGCATTTTCTTAAAGAGAAAGTTCTCCTTTATCTGAAATGGACTATTTGACAGCAACCTGTCTTTCATAGTATATTTTACTTTGTGACAAGCCATGTATTTTTGCCTGATCACGTATGAGTTTAAAGATGGCAACCAAGGAAATATTAACAACTCTTTTCTCTTCAAAACATGCTATCAATCTATGAATACTACAGAAACAAACAAACAAAAAACCCCACCCCAAACCCTGAACATGTGTTAGACACTACTAAACAAAACATACCAACTACTGGAACCCAGCCTAAAAATGAAATGTATCTTTCCCCTTGATGAGCCAGAAACCAGTGTAATTTGTCTGGTAGATATGCAAAAAGCTTATCTAGTTCATTTCATGTTCATCTAAGGTTGATCCACTTAATTATTTCTTCCATTAAACAGACCACTGCTGCTTTTTTTCTGGTTGGAAAAAGTGCCATTGTCACAGGAGAGAGATTTTATGCTCGGAAGACCTGGGATTAGAAGAACAATCATTTTGATATTGGAAATTTGTGTTTGAAGGCAGATTGCTTTTGAGCATGTAGAAGGTTTTTATGCTGACACTCGTCTGTGTTATGAAATAATTTCAAACTCTGGGATGATAGCAGATGTTATAGTTCAAAGAATCAAAACTCCTGGTTTTGGATAAAAAAAATATTTCAGTCTTGTTAGAAAACAGAAGAAAACATACGGCATAATAGGTCAATTGAATGGCATTGTTTGCAGGAAAGCTGACATTTCAGGCATATCCGCAGTGCTCCCTTAAAGTAGGCCATTTTGCTGGGCAGAGGAGGATTTAATACATTCTCTTATATTGCTGTGTCAAATTGGTTTAGAACATAATAAAATGGGGAATGTAAAATAAAGCCCTCTGGGATTGCTGGTTATGCAGTGTAGTAAGATTCACATGAAATGAAAATGAATGTGCTCTTCAGAAGTATAGAAGTATGACAAACTTGTCATGTGTAGTTGTGTGAACCTTCCCTTTTTATAGTGTGTTTCCTTGGTTTATCCCTTCTGTGCTGCACTCTTTGTTGATCTACTTGATCAGCATCAAGTGATTCACTTTGTTGATTCACTTGATCTACATCAAGTGAACTTCCTTCGGTAAGTTTGCCCAGCATTGGTCTGTTCTGTAAATATTATTTAAAACAACAAGACATTCAAACATAACTATTGAACACTTGCTACAGTTCATACAGTTTCTGTTTGCAATTATAAACAGCCCAACAGTGCTCTAAACTTTCCCGAGATTTATTTCAGAGATTCATTACTACTGCCTGCTGGCCTGGTTTGGAGTGCAGCCAGTTTTCACTTCAGCAGCTTCACTGAGTAGCCCGTAGGGTCCAGCTTCTGCTGTCAGTCTGCAAGATATCTAAGCTACACAGACAGGGAGAAGTGCTGAAATTTGGTTTCTTAAATGATGCTTGAAGGCTTTCTCATAACTTCATGGAGTAAGTTATAACCTTTGAAATTTTGGAAATGTTAATTAGTAAGCGGAATACTCCACACTTTCATTTATCTGCTACTCTTATCTCAGAACTCACATTACCCCAAATTGGATTGTGCCTCCTAAGTACTATGCGTCATTTGCTTTGAAAAGGTCTCTGTTAGCTGAAAACCCAGTGACAAGTCTAGATGGCAGGTCCTGTGTTCTGTTTTGATAAACGTGGTTACACTTCATACAGGAATTAATATTAGTCAGAATTAATAAATCACTTCAGCCCTAAATTTAATTTCAGAGATTACAGGAAAACTGATTACAAACTATATGCTGCATCACTTTTGAACTTTGGAAGGGGAAGTGATTAAAAACAAAAGACTAGAGCCACTCTTTTGTTTAAGTTAAAGCATGGAAAAAGGCCTAGTACACATCAAAGTAACTCCAGTGTGCATGTGCATTCAACTTTTAGTTGATTGTAAAACTGAAGAGAAGTTGAGCTTGGGACACTTAATGCTGTATGAAGACAGGCTTTCACTTAAAATGACTGTCAACTCCTCTGTCAGATTCTTACTTTTCCCTTGCAGCTGAAGAGCAGTAACTTTTCATAGAAAAGCCGGATTCATCCTTCTGTGACACTGAGTGTCCATGACCCTGCCTGTACCTTGAGTGAGGGAACTGCTAGTGCTGCGGCTGCTGCAGTTCCATCCTAGCGTGGAAGAGGATTGTGCAGTGAGTGCACAGCACATTTCACATGAATATATGTAACACTGAGAAGTCACCTTAAAACAAGGACAATACCAATTTTCAAAAAGAAACTCCAAACAAAAAGACAGACTTAATCAATTTGGTCAGTAATATGGGCATGCTACCAGATCACAGAGGTTATAAGGTGAGGGTCTGAATACAGGAAAGTTATTTGGCTTAGAACATCCTTTACTTTTCAACGGCTTCTTATACGCAACTAAGCATATGCTTAAATGCTTTCCTGAACTGAGGTCTAACAAACTCACGCTTTGATCTTACTGTTAAGGATGTTTGGTTTATTTGACTCTAACATGTGCACTCCATTTGAGTATGGTTTGACATAGCAAATGAAATATTTACTGACCCTTGGCAACAGTACCTTTCAGGACTTCTGTAATGTATCATTCTCATTGAAGATCTGATCTCCATAGGATGAATATAATTAATTTCTAAGAGCATTACGAGGAGGTTGGCTCATGCTTTGAGAAGAAAGCTCTTTCTTTTCCATAAGTAATTTTTGTGGATTTGTTCCTAATCACTAATTGGATTCCTGCATAGAATTTGATAACAGAGACTTTGGGATAGCAGAAATATGGACTTCTAAGTTTCCCATTTCCCTATGTAACAAAAAGATACCAAACAAAGAGTTAAACCACTTCAGTGTGTTTCATTGCTTTCATGGAACAGCGTTGTCTGAACTCTGTTTGCCTAGTTTATATATCTCACTTTATGAGAATATAGTGTTCCAAAGGACTGAAGAGCATCACATAAGAAATCTCGAATTTGCAGTTCTGGCTGATTAGTAGACTGCAATTTATGTGGCGAATCATGCAAAACACAGAAAGACAGGCAAAATAAGAGAAGCAGTATTTCCTTAAGTGAGTTTCTGATTAAGTAAGATTAAGAGGAAAACATTCTCCAGCTTTTCTACCCCATCAGCAGGGCAATGACTAAACCCACTATCTCCTACATAAGACATTCTTTAATATATCCAAAGAATGAGAAATGAAGACTGAAAATGTACCATCAATTTCCTTGGATTAAGGTCAATGCTTCAGAAAGAGAGAGAATAGTTTCCTTCGCAAATTTATCAGACAATTTCAGTTATGATCAGATTAAGGAAATAAAATCAGAAACAAAAAATTTCAAAAAAAAAAATTGTAATACTTACATTGGTGACATATTCAATATCCTTCCAAATATTACATTCCCTGGGAAAATCTGCCAAATCTAAAAAATTATCCACTACCACTTGGCCAATCAAGTCATGCCTGGAGAATCTGTCAAAGTCATACACAGAGAAATGGAGCTTCCTTGCATTCAGATCATTATATGGGACCGTAAATAAAAAAACTTCATCAAATACTGGATTTAGGGTCTTTCTGTGCACTTTAGTCTGGTGTTTTGTTTTCCTGTCAGGAAGCAGATAGATCTTCACATATGGATCTGAAGTTCCAGAGAAGTCCTTTGCTGGCAGGTTGATGGCCTTGTGTATCTTCACTATTAACTGCTCTAAATCACAATCATATTTCAGAATAAAGTTCAGTTTTCCACATGCCTTGCTATTACTCCTTCGGCCATCATCTGCGTCCACTGATCTTTGTTTATAGAGCTCTGGCTTAATGCGGCCAATCCCCGTCAGTTGCTCCTGTTTCTGAACCTGCTGGATGTTGAAGTCGGGGTTGGAGAGGTTGAGCTGTCTTCGGATTGAATTATGCCTTAAGTGGAAATGAAAGAATTGAAACAGATTATGTTGAATATGATGAGAATCTGTGCACACACACTAAAGATACTGTTCTCATTTGACATACTTTTGTAATGTATGATGGGGTCAGATTTTTACTTGCATACAGTGATAAAGCATGATAACCAACAGCTGTGAGAGCTCACCTTCAGCATTAAACTGCTCATATCATATAATTCTCTGTTACTCTGTCTCAGGCTAGTGGTATGTATTCTCCAAACCTGGCTGAAGAAAGTGACAAATGCAAATTCACAGCCATTGCAAATCCAAGGGATCTGCCTTACTGGCAAGTATAATGTGATACAAGAACTGTAGATGTTCTTATCACATACCATTTTCAACTGAATTCTTTGGATTATTGCCAATGAAATGAGTTACATTATGTAAATGGGAGTAGGATATGGCCTATTTTGCCAGCTGAGTTCGCTGATTTCTGGTTCTAAGGCAAAGCTGGACAAAGAAGGATACTTCCTGACATTTCTGCATTTTAGTTACTTAATTACTTAATTACCATGACTACCTCATTTACAAGTGGGCTGTTCTGGTCTGAAATGGTGTGTTGACGTCCTCAACAATTGTTTTGTTTTTTCTCTCATACCTGATGTAATAAGCTCTGTGGTACTTTGGCTGAAAAGCTCCTTTAGTTTCATTACTCTGAGAAAGTTGCTTTTAGCTTCGGTCCAGTGAAATTTATTACCTGGAGTCACTCAGTTACTGTGATTGAAATTTCCACTTCATGAGATAGTAATAGAAATCAAATTTGCAAACCCTATCAGGGTAGTGGGATGTGAAAGATGGATTAGGTAAAATCCTAATCTTATATGAGTTGGATTCCACTTTATTTCCTATTCATATGCAGCAATCATCCAGTGTCTTGGAGTACCATGAGCTGTGGTTGTACATATAAAGAGCATGTGGAAAATGCTAGCACAGGATTAGTCCGAAGTGCTTTATGTTGAATATAATCAGCAATAGTTCCTCTGCTATCATTGTTCATTCATTCCTTGTGAATATGTGTTTATGCATGCTTAAAACAGGAATGGTCTCTTATATACTAACCTATTTTTTTCTTGTATAATAAATACATAATTTTATAGCTATATAATAGTCATTTCAGGATAAAATATTATTATGTTACAAAAAAAGATTTTTATTATTCAACTCTTAAGCTCCTCACCACAGTGGGAGGAATAAAAAGAAGGGAGGAAAGGCTGGAGAGACATTTTAGCAAGGATTGTGGTGGGGCTAGTGCCTGGTCTCTATGGCCACAGAGGAATGCCACAAGCACCCAGTTACGAAGGAAAGCAGCCGAGACAAAGGTGAACCAAGGATGCAACGCAAGGAAGATGGGCCCCTCCTGCTCAGTGAAAGAGTCTTTTGGAGAAGACCTGGTCAAAAGTAAAGGGCAATGAAAGAGAGGAGTAAAGAGCAAAACCTGTATCAGCAAATGATATGGGAAAAGGTGGGACTTGGACAAGTCATGCTCTTGTGGACAGAGAGACAGTGTAATAAAAACCTGCTGGAGAGAGCGAGACTGGGAACAGCTGCCAAAAGAAAGGTCTGCAGAGATTGTCAGGAGTGAAGACATTGTGCATGCACTGAGGATGCTGAGGCAAGCTCTTTAAAAGATTGGGATTGCTGCTACTTCTTCTGAGATGACTATGCTGTGGTGATACTCTCCATTTGTCACTTGATTAAGTATCAGAATTGGTGCCCTGTTGTAGCAGAGGAAGTCTGTATCTGACTCAATACTTTCACAGTATCAATGACACACGAGAGCTCTTGGTGTTAGATGTTAGATATGAATCTTCTGTTAATGAGTCTTAAATGCGTTTTTTCCAGCAGTTTGAAAACAGCAGCACTAGCTCTGTACTGTACCTGTGGGCTATTAATCCTTAGCTGGAATTCAATCTTGTGTGTGGTCGGGTATGTGTGCTTTGGTATCCGTAATTATGGCTTTGACCTCCCCATAGATTCCTACAACAATGTAAGCCCAAACCATTCTTATGCTAATCTAAGGAGGAAGGGCACCTGGATCTTTTACTGAGTAATATTAGTTAACTATGTTTTGGGATTTCCCAAATTCTTTCTGAGACATGTTTTGGACAACCGGCAACTATTGAACTGGCTGTTGCCATCATTCCCATGTTCAGGTGTGCCAGCAGGCACAAGTCTTGGCTAAATTTGTACTCCTATATGGCCAGAAAGGAGGCTAGTAAAGAGCATTAAGGCTAGTGCTATATCTTTCCAGCTGAAGTACACCTGCTTTAACTCCGACATCTACTGTTGCTTCACATGCTGATCCTTTTTCTTACTGTGTGAAACATAATCCTTTCATCACCTGCCCCTATACACAGGCTTACCCTCTCTCTTTCCTCCTCCCTCCTGTACTGGTTCTCCAGTTGCCCTGGGGACCCCACTTACTCTTGTTCAGTCACTTTTCCCCCCACAGCCATGATTGTGGCTAAAATCTATGATTCTTAATCCTGTTTCTAACTTTCAAGTGCTGCATTAGCTTGCCCTACTTTTCTCCTTTGGCTGCTGTAAAATTTTTGAGGACACATTACTGAGTATTCAGCAACAGTGCTAAGTGCAAATGAATATGCTTTACAAGCTAAATCCAGGCTGTTCTGGTGCTTTAAGAGACACACAGTGCTCTGTCTTGTCCAGCTTCTGAGGGAGAGGCACAAATGAGATACTAGTTGATAGAAGAGTAGAATAGTATTGTGATGCTATCATTTTAACCTAAGAGGTTCGCACACCTCAAAGAATAACTTTTGTGCAATTTTATTTTAAAAAGAATGTGGCAAGAAAATTATACATTCAGTGTATTGGATAATCAAGCTGTTCTCTTTTGACTGTATCTGTATTCATTAATACCAGACAGAAACTGGAGTTACTGACCGATCAGAAGAGGTTGGTTCAGTGACCTGACGATGCATTCGCACATTGTGTACACAGTTCTCCTTTGTTCCTGCCTGAGCATCTAAGGGAATATCAGGGGAGGTGTGGCTGATCTTCATGGAGGACTCTGGATAGGCTGCAGGCTGTCCCAGATAATCGTCACTGTAGTCATGGTCATTGGTCTCTGTATCTGTGTAGTTCAGCGATTCTTGTTTGTTGTCTTTGTTCCCAAATGGCAGACCACGCTCTCGCCAAGGGATCCAACAAAGCTTCCAGGATACGAACAGAGACACACCAAACAGAGCAAGACCACAGGCTGTGACAACTAACGAGAGCAAGCTTATTGAGATATCTGCAAACAAGAAAAACACATGCATGTCACATCTTTTGTGCTCCTTGGAGCTCTGAATTTTCAAGGCATACAATATGGGAAGTAAGTATCTCTGGATTGCAGAGCTACAAAAATTGAATTCTGATCCCTGCAACAGTCATAATAGAAACATATTAAATGTCCTATTCTTTTTTTTTTTCCCCCCCCAAGAAAAAAAGTTAACTTTGTTTGGAATTCAAGACTTATCTTGATAGAACTTACTTTATATTTTTCTCTGAAAGCTGGGTGGGATGAAGGCCATGCTAAGTATGAAAAGAGTTGTTCACTCAACTTTCTACTGATGAAAAAGCAGTGCCTGCTCTACATTGTACCTTTTCTTTACTTTCACGTAGTGCAGTTACCTTCATCTCCTTTACCAGATCTTACTACATTCTTTTCCAGAGACTGTATTATACTTGAACACATGAAAATATGTACACATGCACATATGTGACATGATTTTTTTAGGTATTCAACTGAAGCATCTTGTTTTATTATTTTCAATCCCTTCTTTTCATCTTAAAATCATTCTTATCTTTGCAAATTATATTGGACTATCAATATATGGCTTGCTAGTTATAATTTAGATAGGTACCAGTATCTCTTAAGAAACAGATTTTTCTGGGTTTTATTAGTCCAAAGGCTTGTTTGTTTCCAAACTTCTAGTATAAAAAGGAATGTGGAGATGAGTTTTCTGTAGTTTTTCCCCACATTCCTAGTATTATCCTACTCCACAATCATATCAACACAAATAACTTACAACCAGGAGAGGCTTTTTCTCTGTTTTGCTTTAAGTTGCACATTGGGAAAATGACTCAGTGGAACAGCTGTTTTTATTTTGTCTTTTATTTTCCTTTTAAGTGTTTTTGAAATGAGTTTCTCTGTGGGTTACACAGTGCATCATACCTTAAACACAATTAGTATGAATTCTATTTTACTGACTCAAATTACAACCACAACCTGATCAAAGCAATCTTTCACAGTGCATGCAGGCTCAGAATGTCAGGCTGCATCTCTCTAGCCTAAATCTCCAAAAGATGGCATAAGGTTGAAATGTACTGCTCCTACTAGGACAATTATTTAAGAATGACAGTTCAGATGAAACCACCTCAGTCAGTGGAGGGGGGGGAGGTGTGGGGAAGAAGATATTTTTTTAAAAAGTGTGAAAGTCAATACCTTCTGCCCCTGCTTTGAGTCTCATCCTCACTAACCAGACAGATTTAATGTCTGCAGAGGGGGAAATGAAACTACAATCAGTTTGATCCAGGAGCTGTCCGGTTTATTTTGCATGCTGAAAACCAATTTAAACCAATTTTAGCCAGCATGGCCCTTTCTGTCCTTCTCCCAGTTGTATGAAGACAAAGCTCATTAACAGTGGGGACAGAACAGCAGCTGTTTGGAATTATAGCGAAGAGTTTCAGCGCTGAAATTAATGAAAGAAATTCCTCCTGTGCATAAAAGGCAATCTGGGAGAAAGTAGAATGGCGGTTCTTGGTATTTTTGGAATATTTACTGGTAAACAAGTCTGGCAGCGGAGGCAGAGCACACCCTCTCCCTCTGATTAAAAAGCAGAGGATCTGGGATGCGGTAGTGAAAGACAACCTTCAGAATGAAGTAATTTGTCTTGGATTTCTTGGAGGAGAAGGAAAAAATACATCAGAGGTCTGCAAAAAGGTTACATTTTCAAAAAAATGGTTGAAGTAAATTATCCAGCATTGAAGGAATGAGAAATTGAGAGCTGTCAGAACCAGCCAGCAGATTGCAAGGTGAGAACTGGAGACTGCCCAATGCCAAGGATATGTGACGGTGAGGAACCATTTGAAAGGCAGACCAGCAGTCCAGTCCCTTACCTTGAGAATGACTTCAGAAGAGGACACAGTCATTGAGAGAACTGACATCATGAGATAAAATGCATGAGAACAGCATGGGTGACTTTTCATTTGGAGGGCTTTAATAATATACCACTGAGAACTCTTATCTCACAGTTTACTTTCACAGAAGCTGGGCAATAAGCAGTTCCGGTAACTTTCCAAGTTGCAAATAAGAAGGGATTACTTTTCATCATCTTGATTTTACTTCTTTCTGACTCCTTAGGAACCATTCTCATTTGAAATTTTTGGTTCTGTGGGTGGAAAAGGGACAATCATGTATCTGTCTTACTTCTGTGAAAGACAGTGGGGCTAAAGGGCACTGCCTCCAAACTGTGCACTTTCATTGGACAGTGCTTTTCATATATTGCACATCTCACCAGCAATTTTCAGCAACTGGGCAT